CTTACAGCACCTGGTATTCCCAAGCAGTCACCCATCTAAGTACTGATAAGGCTCAATGTTGCTTCGCTTTGGTGATGGTTCAGGAACCAGTGCCTCAACATGATGTGATGTAAGCTTTCTAATATATAAAGCTCAACATTTGTATATATCTTGAGACTCTGAAAATTATGTATAAGTTGGTTGTGTGTGTTTGTAAATATTATGTAGAAGTGTGACATCAAATATATACATTATTTATATTCTGACTCATGTTTTCATCTTAGTTATTATCAAAATGTTTCAGCTGTTGTGCTTTCATGACTTTATCAGTTGTCTAATTATCCATAAGCAAAAATATTACAGCAATAGCAACAAAGATGAGGACATTAGCCTGAATTTAAATAATGATAAGACCTCATCTCAGAAATTCAGACAAATGAATACAGTTTAGCATTTATCTCTATGACCCCTCAAATAGAAAATGGCATATGGACAAGTAAAGTGGGAATCTCATGTGTACATGATATTAGAGATAAGAATTACCCAGCTTCTTTAACATTCCCACATTGGGATACCTCATTGGTAGACTGTAATCCTCCTCTGTCTTATGTATATGCTTTGTTGATTGCTTTTATGTGTAAAATTACTTAGCATATTTAAAATCAAGCCTGAAAGTGTTAACTACCTCAGCATTTAGATCACAGTCCAGAAGTAAAGGGAAATAATCAATGCTGAATGTTTTTTTCTTTAACAGTATATGTATGCACCATCTAATAGTTATTTGTTCGGGAAGCAGAATTGGTGAGCAAAGTTCCAATTCCAACTGAAGCTGTTGCATTCACTTTTACACAAATGACCTTGGGAATAAATAAAATATTCTCTCTCTCCCTCAGTTAGAAGTTAAAACAACAGAGCAGTCTGAGCTCTCTTGCCTTGGGTGCCAACGAATGGAGAAAAAGGAAAAGTCTGAATTCCAGTTAGAATATTTCTGTTAATACTATTTCACAGCATGCAAAAATCTCTCAAAAAATGATGGAACAAAATAAAGAAACATGGACTATGCAACACTGGCGATAGTTACTAAAAGATTGTACAAATTCAATAAATATTCACTATAACTAAAATGCAGTTTTTTGTTTTTCTTTTTTAACAGAATGAGTGCTCAATATAAATAGAGCAATGGTGAAACTAAATAAAGACCAAAAATAAAATTGCCCCCCGCATGAAACTTCTAACTGCAAGTTAAATTTGTTTTCGTTGAGAACAAGATTATTAGTGCCCCACCCCCTGCCCTGAAAATTTAATTATTTTTTAAAGATTTCCCAAGTGCTGTTTAACAAAGCAAGCAATTTTTAACACAGCATTTCTAAATATATGAGGTGCATTTAGGAAGATTATATTATTTTACTTTACAGACAAAAAAAAAAAAAAAAAAATTATTTAAAAAAAAAAAAAAAAAAAAAAAACACCTCATGCTCACAGTCAATTGTCTATCAATCTTGCTAAATAACATTAATGGGGTACTTGAAGAGAGATATTGACTGTCTTAGTTATATCCACTCACTAATGCTCGTCTTAGGCATTAGTATATCCAGAATATATTAACACATTAACACAACAGCAGTAAGAACCAGAATAACTGAAAAGAAAAAAATCAATACTAAATATGCATTGTGCTTGAGCAGATTTTATATATAAAGAAGCTGTTTAAAGGCATGTCATTTTAAGTGGATAATCATACTTGAGTAGATACTTCCTTTATTTATTAAACAATATATTTATTTATTTTCACCTACAAGCCAGAATATTTAACAAATTATATTAAATCAAAATATGCAGTCTCCAGCAGGATTCACACTTACATCCCCAAGCACAGAAGGAACTATTGTTATATCCAACATGCTCTAGACTGACTGAGCTATGAAGAACTGAGCTGATCAGTCAAGGCTGTTTTACCCTTTTAGCATTCATTGATTGAGCAGCCAGTACTATTTTTAATTGAAATTTATAAAATCTTTTTCTTCAAACAATTTTTCAGGAAAACAGGTTTCTCAAGTGCAGTAGCTGTTATTGCTCTTTCTAGTATTGATTGGGGTTTTCTTCCTAACCTTTCATTTGAAATAGTGTGGGACACCAACATCGTAAGTATGCAGTCATTTTCTCTTTGAGTTATACGTGATAACCATTTCATATGTTGAAAGTTCTCAAGTGATGTTGTTTCTGGTATTTAGTAAGGTTCTGTAGTGCCAGTACACAAGATTCAAAGAGGAATGGTCTTTGTCAAGACCCACAGGCTTCACTTGCTCAAAGCCATATTTAACCACTGGTCTTAGAACAGTTGTATATAGCTGTCAGCTGAGGTATTTCTGAATGTGTTAGGCACCATGCATGACTTTCATATGAATCTAGATCTGACAGGCTATTTAAAAGCATGACACAAGTTTTCAAGTGAATATTTAGTTTTGTAGCTATCTAGGGTGAACTTACTTTTAGTGCAGCTTATGTTCAATTTCCTTATCTCCTGTACTAAATTTGCTATAGCCGATTCATATACTGAAGGTTCAGTGTTTACAAATTCTGTATCTTGAATATTTATGATGAGTTTAGGGCATGTGCCATCACTGCTTCCAGATCAGAATTTCTGTTTTGGAAAAGTCTGAGTCCTATGGTTCAACAAAAACGATAGTTCTTAAGTGTGTCAGAGAGACTAATAATATTAACCTTTTAAGTTCGGATTTGTTTGAAATAATCATATGATTGTGTTCAAATAAAAAGCTTTTAAAAACACTTGGGAAAAAAATTTAAAAAACAATTAGCATTTCAAAGATGGAAACTAATGATTTTGCCCTCAACACTGTATGTGTGTGGGTATGCATAATATATATGTTCCCCAGGGCTCCATTCTAGGTCCTACTCTATTTTTAATTTTCATTAATTATCTTCCTGATGACATCAGCTGTCAACTTCATATTGACACTGATGACACAACAAATTACACCTGCCTCAATATCAGTCTAACAAGGTCAAAATGACAACCGATGCCAAAAACGACTTCAAGTCTGTAGTTAACAGGGGCAATAAATGACTTGTTAATTTTAACACCTCCAAAATTAAACTTCTTTCCTTTAATCATCTGAGAGACCCCTCACTGCCTTCCATCAGCATAGAATTCACAACTATCATTACATTAATTTTTGTTTTAGTAATTCACCCCTGATCTTGGAAGAGATTGAAAGTACTTGGGAAAATAAATGAAACAACCAAAACTACGGCATCTTTCTTAATTTTCTAACACCACTAAGGAATTGGTCTGTGAATTTAAGAGGATTAAAATAAAATAAACAAACATAATATGTGTAGATTATTCAACTAAATGTACTTGAAGATATGCTGCCTATATATGGATAATTCTCTCAAACATGTTTGGTTCACTTGGAGATATTTGATCTTATCCTTCAATGTTTTGATCTGAGTGAACATTGAAGTTTGATCTGTTTTCTCTCTGAGTGAACATTGAAATTGTGTTTGTGTCCTTGTTCTCTACAGGATCATATAATCTAAATAATGTGTATTTAGGCAGCAATAATTGTCAATTATATATATATATATATATATATATATATATATATATATATATATATATATATATATGTGTGTGTGTGTGTATGAATCAACACTGCATTTATAGATATAGTGGACTTCATGGTGACAGTTTCAAACCTCAATATGATTTTCAAACTAAAATTACATTGAAGAGTGAGATTCATATATATTTTGCAGTGTTCATTTCTATTCCCACACAATCTCTCTCTGTCAATGTTCACTGTATAATAACAAAAACTCTTTTCCCACCATGTATATAGAAAATTTTAACATGTGTATTTGTGTGTACAATTTTAGTTTGGTTACATCTAGCTAGCTATCTCAGTCAGTTCATATCTCTATCTTTAGAGCTAATACACTTTTTTTATTAGCTTAATTCTTGACTAATCCAAGAAAGAACATAGAACTTTATGCCTAAATTCAGTCAGGTAGTAATACTTAGTGCTAAAAGACATGCAGAAATGCATATGCCAAATAAACAAGTGAGTTTGCACATGCATAAACACACACACACACACACGCACACAAATTTGAATTAACCAAAAAGAATTAATTCTATATTCACTGAATTTAACATGGTTTGGCATTGAGGTATAATAGTCAGGTTTTGAATAAGGATAGAGCAAATGAACAATAGATTGCAAGACCAAGCTGCTGACCACTGCAATCATTCAGGCTGAAATAGATAAACAAGAATCTGATCAAGTGGTCAGGGCTGCAGTAAAGCTAAGGCTGATTAGAGGATGGAGGGAGGCTGCAGCGTTGGTCAAGCAGAAGGAGATGACGTGCACACCTGGCTTAATGCTTATTGAACACCTGCAGCCTTTCCAGGGTTCAGTGGCCAAGTCATCATTTCTTCTGTCCATCTTTAGTGTTGGCTTGTCAGAGCTGTCTGGCCAAAATAGATTGTGCTGTTTTCCAAGTAAATTTAGCTTAACCATTCTGAGCATGTTTGGTCGATTCTGGAGATGTTCTGAAATGCAGATGGTGCTGAGTTCAATAAAGGAAATCATGCAATGGAGTCAATGGTGTGTTGGGAATATGAGCATGCCAGATGATGGAACTTGATGCAAGACTAGAAGCTTATTGTGGTCTTATATCACAGATGCATGTAGATGCAGTCTTGTCTGTACTTGGAATGGTTACTGGAATATCTGATGTGCAAACAGACTATAAAGCTTTGAAATATTTAAGATCTCGTCTTGATATTATCATCATCATTTGATTAGAGCTGGAATCATGGATCTGATGAGTCTCAGAGAAAAGAAAATGTGCTATTACACAGGAATAGAGTTGGAACTCAATTTCACACCTGATCATCAAAGGAAGTCTGAAGCAGACTTGACCTGAGATGACGCTATCTGAGGAGAAGGGAAGATCCATGGTTCATCTATTGTTTGTGGTGACCCTAGGGTTGAACATCTGTGAGCTTGACAGCACTTGATATGCTCATGCATGAGAAAAACACATAGGACAGTTGGATGGATATATATATATATATATATATATATATAT